GGGTGGCGTGTAAAGTTGACATGTGAGATGTATTGTGCACACTCATATGCATACACAGCTACGCATAAACACACATACATACACAAAGATAATTTAACTGTTATTCGATGGCTGTTGGTCTTCACGAAAAAAACAATTGCTCGTTTGTAAAGAATTCATTATCTAGGAGGCGCACACATTTAACACTAGAACGCAATGCCTAATACTCCTCGCTATCAATTCATTAGCGGAGTTGGCCGCTTTTTCACGGCTGCCGTTCTCTAAATAGAGAAAGAAAATGGATATAGATAATGATGCTGAATCATACACTGACATAGGAAAGCAGCTTTGTGCCATAATTTGTTAAGATCAAATCCTTTAATTTGCTGGCCACTTATAGTCTGGTAGATTGAGTAAACCCTAGGTTCTGGCCCAAGGGTGGGTGCTTCATGCTCGGGGTGATGTGAAGCGATGGTGTGGTAGCCTAGGTAGTGTTAAGTGCTTGCATGCCTTCTCGCTTGCAGCTGCCACCGCTGGCTAGCCTGGTGCGAAAAGGGAGCAGCTTTGCATAAGACTCCCCTGCCAGCTCATAGCCTCTCCATCATCAAGACTTCTGCAGTGCCTCCTCGTGGCCACCCATGGAAACTAGGTACCTTGCGGTCCTAGGCTGAACTGTGGAGGCTCTTGGAGCAGCAGGAGGCCTTAAAGGTACGGAGTCATGGCCCACCGGCGTGTGGACACGCCCTGGCTTCGTACCAACTCCTGCCCCTGTGCCCCCCGGGGTTAATAGGCGGCTGTGGGGGGGCAGGCCTTGCCAGTCTGCCCCTCCGAGACGAGACAACTCTACTGGCAACGAAACATAGAGAAGTTGGTGCTGGGGTGAGGGCTAAAGCCCCTCCCACCCAGCAAGAACGGCAGGCTGTGGGTCCCTCTGGGTTGGCGACCGCTGGGACTCGGGTGGGGAGGGGGGGTTACCCATCATCCCATCTGGGTCCCAGCAGCCGCCAGCCTGGCGTGATGCTTGTGGGGGAAAGCCCCCGGGAGCCCTGCAGGTGGATTAGGTTGCTCTCTCGGAGGTGAGAAGACCTGGCAGTGGCACGATTAGTGTGGGTGGCTACACTTATTACTGGTCGGGCCGCAGCGATGGCCACCATCTCCAGGGAGTAGCCATAGCCATCTCCAGCCGATTTCAACCCTCGGTAGTAGAGGTCACTCCAGTCGATGAGCGTATAATGGTATTGAGACTGAAGCTGTCATTTGGCTTCATGTCTCTTATTGCTGTGTACGCTCCTACGGATGTATATAAACTTGAGGTGAAAGAGATGTTCTACGCTAAACTTGCATCTGTGGCAGACAGTTGTCCTCGGCGAGATATTCTTATTGTTCTGGGCGATATCCAGATGTGATCGAGCTGGCTACGAGATGTCTGTCGGTCCCCATGGCTCAGGAGCTGATGCTGGCAGCGAGAATAGCCTCCTTTTCCGTGACTTTGCTAGGTCCCAGAAATTGAGGATCTCTGGCTCCTGGTATCAGCGTTCTGACCCGCATCGCTGGACTTGGTACAGCGATATGGGTAGGGTGGCCAAGGAGATCGACCACATCCTCGTTAACACTCAGTGGAGGATCCTCCAGAACTGCAGGGTGTATCGGAGCGCCGAATTCTGTGGAACTGATCATAGACTAGTTGTGGCTACTCTCCGGGTCCACTTTAGAACCCCCCGTCGACCAAATGAACACCCCAGGGTGTTCCATCTGGACAGACTGAGGGAGGATGAGTGTGCCCGGGGGTTTGCTGAGGCTATCTCTGGTCGTCCTACGGCACTCGAGGGCTTGACAGACCCTTTTGTTATGTGGGATTCCTTCAAGCGTGAAACGCTTGATGCAGCTCAGGAATCCATTGGTGTACGCCCAAGAGCAAGACATAATTCCATCTCGCAGGAGACACTGGAAGCCACAGAAGCTTGTCGTGTGGCTCGATTGTCAGGGGATCGGAATTTACACCGTTCTCTGGCGCGCAGGGCTAGGTCACTGCTGAGAAGGGATAAGGAACAGTTTATCAGTAATCTTGCAGAGGAGGTTGAAAGCCATTTCTTAGTAAATGACCTTCATCCTGCCTACCAAGCTCTGAGAAAGCTGAACTCCAAGCCCTCCTCACAGACGACGGCAGTCCGCTCAGCAAGTGGCCAGGTAATCTCAGATCCTGATGGGGTGCGTGTGCGTTGGGCTGAGTATTTTGAGCAGCTGTATCAGGTTGATCCACCAACAGTTAACTCGGATGCTGGTAATGTTGAGACTCCTCTGCCAGACCCACCCATCAGCGAGGATCCACCCACCCTGACTGAAGTCAAGGGGGCGATCTCCAAGCTGAAGAGTGGTAAAGCAGCAGGTGTCTGTGGCATCCCAGCTGAATTGTTAAAGGCTGGTGGAGAACCTATGGCAAGGGGCTTGCATGCAGTCCTGTCTGCCATCTGGCAGACCGGTACCATTCCCCCCGACCTGCTGAGGGGTGTGGTCATCCCTCTCTGGAAGGGGAAAGGGGATCGGTGGGACTGCAGCAATCACCGAGGCATTACACTGCTCAGTGTACCAGGCAAGGTACTCGCCCACATCTTACTGAGACGTATCAGAGACCACCTCCTGAGGCACCAAAGACCGGAGCAATCTGGGTTCACTCCTGGTAAGTCCACAATAGACCGTATCCTGGCACTTCGAGTCATTGTAGAGCGCCGTCGTGAGTTCGGACGTGGGCTGCTCGCAGCCTACATCGACCTCAAGAAGGCGTTTGATACGGTGCATCGCGAATCACTCTGGGAGATCCTGAGACTGAGAGGAATTCCAACAAGGATTGTTGGGCTAATAGCAAACCTGTATACAGGCACTGAAAGTGCTGTAAAGTGTGGTGGGGGCCTGTTGAGCTTCTTTCCTGTTAGTTCAGGCGTGAGGCAAGGCTGTGTTCTTGCACCAACACTTTTCAACACTTGCATGGATTGGATACTGGGTAGAGCTACTGTCCAAAGTCACTGTGGAGCAACTCTGGGCAATATCAAGGTTACAGACCTTGACTTTGCTGATGTTGCCATTCTTTCTGAATCTCTGGAAACCCTAGTGGCGGCTCTTGATGCATTTAGCAATGAAGTGAAGCCCCTGGGGCTAGAGGTCTCCTGGACCAAGACCAAGATCCAGGATTTTGGGGGCCTACTAGGAGACCCTGTGCAGTCGGTACGTGCTTGCGGTGAAAACATCGAAGTCACAAGTTTTATATACCTCGGTAGTGCAGTTAATGAATTGGGCTGTCAGACCAGGATGTCAGTAGACGGATTGGCCTGGCAGCAGGGGTCATGAAATCTCTCGACAAGAGTATTTGGAGATGCCGGTACCTGTGCAGAAGGACCAAGCTACGAGTTTTCAAGGCCCTGATACTGCCAGTTTTACTATATGGTAGTGAAACTTGGACGCTATCTTGTGCCTTGGAATCTCGTCTCGATGCCTTGCGCCGGATCATGGGGTACAGTTGGCGGGACCGTGTGTCCAACCAACAGCTACACCGTGAGACCGGTACAAGACCTGTTACTTGCACAATCCGTGATCGCCAACTCAGGCTATATGGCCACTTGGCTCGATTCCCGCAGGATGATCCTGCCCATCAGGTTGTCTCTGTTCGAGACAACCCTGGGTGGAGGAGGCCTGTGGGACGACCGCGAAGGTCGTGGCTTGGGCAGATCGATCAAACCTGTCGTGAGGAACTAGAGATGGGCCGGGCCCCTGCCTGGCGGCTCGCCATGAGAGACCCTCGCAGGTGGAATCGAAGGGTGGACGCGGTTATGCGCCCCTACCGGCGTTAGCTCCCCAATGATGATGATGATCTGCCCCAAGGTAGAATTGTTGTGTAAGATTATATGATATGTCACATGGATCTAATTCATGCAAAGCTGAGGTAGCTACTTTAAGTGGGTAACAGAAGTTTAGTTGACCTAGACTGGAAAATTTATGTTAATGCTAGTGAGGTGTGGCAATATATAGTTTAAAAACGTTAAGTACCGAGTGGACGGAATGGTCTCGAATAGCATCATATATCTGTTCAACAGCCATCACCCTCTCTACCGCACAGTATTTGAAAAATACAATTTTAAGGGCTGCAACTGCTCCAGGAACGGTGCAACGGCCTCATGGAGGGACAACCATCGTGAGGCACAAGAATGAGGGAGATGAAGTTATGCTTTGCTTTGATATACAATTCAAAATGGAAATTCCTGGAAATCTATCTCGGAGCCGACTGCTTACACTATTAACAGCGCCCACCATGCCAGATGCCCCATCAAGCGCAAATCCTATGAAGTTGGACAAGGGATTATTAGGCAAAGTTGGACTGGCACTATGCTTATTACATAACTCCTCCCCAGGTGAATCCGTCCCATTCCCCTCATAATAGTTTACAAGGTCGAACAATTTCTTCATGACGTCATCATCTTTATCAACATCACTACAACGTATGTTTTCTCCGAGGTACATTTTTTTTTTTTATTCTTCGATAAGTATACTAAATTTACTTTTTGTTACGTTATTTATTAATTTATGGGAGGCGTATTGCCCTAGCCTTTGAACAAGAGTAACATTTTTTTTTTTCGTTTAATCGCCATCTTTGCCGCGACCTCAGAATCGGGAAACATCCTTTTGTGCAGTTCTATCGTGTCATCATATAAGCTGAGAAGGAAGTTGCATTGTTATATAGCAATACTGGGAAAATAGAAATATATACTTATCATTACTGCCATACTGTTATCATACACACAAATATTATAATGCTCCGCCAGATGGCAAATTATGTTCAGCCAAAAATACAGTGGATAATATCGTGGCCACACCATTAGCTGTGCTTTAGACGTAAGATGCGTTGAAGTCGCCCTTCGCCTCCTGCAAGATGCGTGTTGCCGAGACTGCCGGTGACGCAATGCATTTGAGTTGAAGTTGGGAAATGGTCTAATCATCCATTTTCGGAAATTTACCTGAGTTACCCATTTTAA